ACTACTTAAGAGAGTTAATGGCTCTCTTAATGACTGTGAGGGTTCATCCTAAAAAAATGATTTTATATTATTATATACCTATCCTTGTTATACATTTTGCATGCAGTTTCTAAACCTACTCTTATTATAAGTTTTTTACAATTTACATCAAGCTCAAATGATTAGTTGGAAATAGCAGACGGAGTTAAAACTTCATGCGACTTTGAACATTGCTTGAGAGCTATGGATGGCAAGCATGTTGCGATTAAAAAACCGCCTAATAGTGGGTCTTTTTTCTACAGTAAAAAGGTTTTTGTAGCATCGTCTTGTTTGCGATTTTAGATTCTAATTATGAATTTATATACGTATACTCCGGAATAAATGGTAGAATGTCTGATGGGGATGTCCTACAAGAGACCTACTTTTACGTCAAACTTGAAAACCATGCTTTAAATATACCGTCTTTTAATAATCTCGCCAAGTCACCAATCAAACTTCCATATATTTTTATTGGAGACAGAAAATATAATTATTTCCTATTCATTAACTGGTATTAGTCACGATAAACAAATTTTTAATTATCGCCTATGTCGAGCAAGAAGAGTGGTTGAACATGTGTTTGGTATATTGGCTTCTCGGTTCAGAATATTACCGAGCACAATTTGATTTAATAATGTCGAACAATTTGATAAAGTAGTAATGGCATGTTGTGATTTACATATTTTTTTAAGAAGGAAGAGCTCTACGTACATACACAGTCGCTCTATTGATCTCGATGACAGTAATCGTAATTAGAGCATTCGATATGGTGACTGGTGTGAAGAACTTAGTCAATAACTAGGTTTACAAAACAGAAGGACTTATTGCAATGATATTGCCAAAAATGTTAGAAAAGCATTTAATCAATACTATAGTAATGAAGGACGAATATCGTTTCAAGGAGACATAATCAACGGAAATTAATAATTTAATCGAAAAGCTCTACCATATTTATCTTTTTTTAAATTGTCTGTGTCTCTTTCTTTGTTAAAACGGATTAAAAATAAAGGATACCTAATAAATATATGACTTACCATTATTTCATTTTGACTATCCCCTTATGATTCCTGGGATTCTATTGATGATGTTCCAGGGCGAACCTCTTCTTGATCTTGTGTAAATAACAGTAAGGCAAAATAACAAAAAGTGGGTTTATAAACACTGTCCGTAGATGACCTAGTCCTCTTACTCTTCATCATTTCTCTTAATTCACGTCGAAATCCAGCACGCAAATAATTTATTTTCTTTCTTACATATTTTACATCTGCATCCGGCCAAATTTCTTGGAATTTTTTAACCAATTCATCATATGCATTTTTCGCAGTTGCCTGTTAGAACAGTCTTTACTTTTTATATTCCACAAGAATGGCTTGAACTTATATAACGAAATGAAACTTTCCCAAAATGCCTTATTATCCGCGAATCCCATTTTTGAAAATACACATTTACTACCTACCGTAGCAACTTGACACAATTTTAACAGGTACCTAGGTACTCCTCGACCGGCGTACTAATCCTTGAAACTATTCACACACATGCGTATATGTAAATAATGCTCGCTGTAGGTGCTCGTTGTCTTGAACCGCGGACGGCGAGCAAGACACATACGCGTATATGGCTCCTCTACACATCGGCAGACGCGTCCGCAGACGACATCTACGTATGCATCTGGAGATGTGTAGATGGGCTAATTTGATCATCTGTTGTTTATATATCACGTCCGCGGATGCGTCTGCAAGATATCCGATTGTTGTCGGTTTTTTTAGCACAGATCAAAGGGTTTCGGTGCAGACGTCTGACGCCTTTCCATTTTTTAATGCTCGCGTAGAAATTGCGTCTTCCCGGAATTAACAAATACTGAACGATTTAACAGATATGTCCAGATGTGTGGTCAGCTTGTGCTGATACATCTGCAGATGCGTCCACAGACCCGTCTGCCGATGTGTAGTGGAGGCATTACGAATGGATATTACACATGCGGGTCTGTCCGGAGGATCTGTCTGCCGGACATATCCTTCGGACAAATACACATGTGAATAGGGCCCTAAATTATTCCATAAGCTGATCATTTTGGTTAGGATAAACCTGCAATTTTGTTTGTGACGATTAAACTAGTTGTGTTTTGTTGTAGATAAAAATTATATTTTTAAATACTGAACTTTTTTTAAAAGTAAAAAATTGATACTATTATTAGTTTTTTACTTTTCTAATCTCTTTATTTATTTCCATATCTATTCTAATGTACAAAATTTGGTGCTTACTTTGACTTGGTGTCGTTATTTTATCATGTTTAAAATGTTATTGGTGATTTAAATTAAGTATTTCTTTTTTTCTTTTACGTGTTAAACATTTATCTTGAATGTCTTGATTGATCCAGATACATCCAGTTCTTAAATCTCATTTTACAGCTGCAATTTATACTGATATCTCATAATTTTGCTGATAAGTATACAGGGTGTCCCATAATTAATTGGACATTAGCTAATGGGTAATACCCGACATCAAAATAAAGCGGTTGAGCTTAAATTGCATAGGAAAAATGTTGCTTGTTTTCGTTCTACAGGGAGATTCATTAATAGTTTTTTATATTATTTTTATGGATATATTGAAAACTATTCAACCGATTTAAGTCAAATTTGGTATCTTGCTATTATTAAGTATACTTAATAAGAAAGTGATATTAGTTTTACCATTGACACTAGGTGGCGCCCCTTACTGTAACATTGGTTCATTAATGGGGCCCTAATTTTTTGTCCGCCCTGTATAAACATTCTAGGAAAAAAAACATGAAATAATATTCAATTCTACACAGAAAAGGTATTCTTGTTTCAAATCAAAAAAGTACACCCTTTTCGAAATAAACGTATTTTGTTAATGATGCATGTCCCTATTATTTAATTTTTTTGCAAAACAAGTATGCTTTGAACTTAATGACAACGTCAAGGCGTAACTACGAATTTATTTTATTATTAGTTGTCAAAGTGCAGTGCGAGTCATTATTTTTCAAAGTGTTATTAAGTTTTTTATAAACCACTTAAGATAAAGGAAAAATGCCACTTCATAGTGAATTTTCTAATGTAGAAATTCTTCTCGTAAAGCAGCTGAACTCTATCGAACTTTATCCCAATAGAAGGCAACCAAACCATAAAACTATTAGATCATTGTTCGACAGATTAGGCGAAACAGGGTCATTTCATCCCAAAAACATGAATGCTGGAAGACCGAGAGTAATTGATGCGGATATGGAGGATGAAATTGTTGTGCGTGTTGCAGAAGATCCAGAAACCAGTACAAGGCTTGTTTCTGCGGCCACTGGTATAAGCAAATCTACGGTGTCAAGAATAATATAAACAGAAAATCTGTATCCGTATCGTTTTACTCCAGTACAGAATCTTTTATCACAGGATTTTCCAGCAAAGCTCCGATTTAGTCAGTTTATGATGGGGCGGCATTTAGACGATCCGATGTTTTATAATAAAATGTTATTTACCAATGAAGCCACATTTATTAGAAGGGGTGTATTTAACTGGCGTAATAGCCATACCTACGCGACAGAAAATCCTCATGCATTTCAAGAACATCATTTTTAACACGAGTTTTCCATAAATATCTGGTGTGGCATATTTGGGGATTATATTGTAGGAGCATTCGAATTACCAACTAGGCTTGATGGAGTAACGTATCTAAATTTTTTGATAAAAGATTTACCAACTCTTTTAGAAGACATACCTCTAAATTTGATACGGAACTCTTGGTACATGCATGATGGTACACCACCACATTATATCCTAGAAGTTAGCAATTATCTAGATGAAATTTATCCTCAAAGGTGGATTGATAGATGTAGTGTATACCCATGACCAGCACGCAGTCCCGAACTAAATCCCCTAGACTTTCAGTTGTGGAGCTACCTAAAGTCACTTGTTTATATATAAAAAAAACTGGCAAGAGTTATGGCCAAATATTGTAGAGGGAGTTATTGTAATTAGGGAGTTAACGTAATTATGGTTTTGAATTATTCACTTTGTTAATTATTTTATATTCACTTCATTGTTAACGTAATTAGGGAGTTAACGTAATTAGGGTTTTGAATTATTCACTTTGTTAATTATTTTATATTCACTTCATTGTTTAATTTAATTTCTGATTCTTTTAAAATTTGTTACTGAGTCAAAGGTATAATAAAAATAATTGTTTCAATCATATGCATTTTGTTTGTAAAAATTATCTACTACGAATACATTTAATATTCACTTTTATTTAAGACCTTTTGAATAATGTTGGAATTTACATAAGTTTTTGTAATTTTTTTTATTTTATGCACGTCTCTAAAAAATACGTTTATTTCGAAAACGGTGTACTTTTTTGATTTAAAACAAGAATACCTTTTTTGTGTAGAATTAAATGTTATTTCATGTTTTTTTCCTATAATGTTTATACAGGGTAGGAAAAAAATTATAGCCCCATTAATGAACCAATGTTATAGTAGGTGGCGCCACCTAGTGTCATCGGTAAAACTAATATCATTGTCATATTAAGCATACTAAATAATAGCAAGATACCAAATTTTACTTAAATCGGTTGAATAGTATTTAATATATCCCTAAAAATAATATAAAAAAATATTAATGAATCACCCTGAGGAACGAAAACTAGCAACATTTTGCCTAAGCAATTTGAGCTCAAACGCTTTATTTTGATGTCAGCTATCACCCAATAGCTAATGTCCAATTAATTATGGGACACCCTGTATAAGCCATAGCTTTTCTAGCTGTGATCAAGATTTTGGTGTAATAGAAAGACAGAAAAAGTATCATCCTCAAATTTTTCATCCAAATGATTGGATGAATATAATTAAAAAGCTAAAAAAAAACACCAAAATTTGTTATGCATCAGTTTACAGCCCATCACTTTTTGACTACAAGAAGTTTGGAAGAGTCCATAACTTACAGAAAAATATCAGTTGAGAAGGAAAAAGTAGAATGGCTCAAAATCAGGTGGATACAACTACGCAAAAAGGAGCCCAAAACGATGTACACATATATAAACACAATTGTATTGAAAATGATGATCTCTTTAGTAAACTTGATTTAACAAAAAGAGTTGGTCATGGTAGACCTGTAATTACTGATTTGCCCGTTGAACTACCATTGTTGTATCCCCATGGACGACCTATTACAAAGGAAAAAAAGTTTTTTTTTAAAGTAAAAAATTGATATTATTATTAGTTTTTTACTTTTCTAATCTCTTTATTTATTTCCATATCTATTCTAATGTACAAAATTTGGTGCTTACTTTGACTTGTTGTCGTTATTTTATCATGTTTAAAATGTTGTTGTTGATTTAAATTATTTCTTTTTTTCTTTTACGTGTTAAACGTTTATCTTGAATGTCTTGATTGACATTTTACCTGGTAGACATATATAATTAAATGTAACATAATTAAATGTGTATGTTAAGAATCTTATATTTAACTAATAATTATAAAATTGTCTTGTTGCAATTGGAACATATACTGTTAACACGATAAATCAAATATCCCAACATCACATACATTTATAAAAACTTTAAGACATAAAATTACCAATTCATACAATTCGATCTTGTCTACTTCCTTCTTTAGCTTCATACTATTTATACGTAGAACTATCTACGAAACTCCCATAAATTTCAGTCTGGACAAATAAAACTGGATATTTCGTTCCACCGTAGAAGATAGCTCAGAAACAAGGTGTATATTCAAATGACTTTATAAATTTAAAAGTCTTGCATGAAGTACGGCTAGCTGAATATCCTAATAAAACTTTTGTTTGCCTGAAAGATCTATCATGAAAGTTTTATGACAAAACATGAAAGAATCCTTCAGGCCTTGAAGATAATACAGTTCTTAAAGAAAGTTTAAAACAGGATAATAATATGTTGTAAAATATAATATGATGTATCTATATGTAATTACACAAACAATTAAAATTAAATTGACTTTTTTAGTAATTTTGTTTCATACAGCTGAAGTAATGTAATATTGTTTTAAACCAAGATCTGCAAGATATCAGGAATTATATTGTAAAAAAAATTTGAATGTTCATTGAATGAATATGCGGTAAATTGAAGAACGTGTAATATAGGTAAACATAATTTGCGTGTGTTATCTGTTGGATAATGATCTCCGACCAAATGGTTCCAAGACGGGTCTAAAACTGCAAAACTGCCGAATGAAGTAAAATTCAGAGTTGATGGATATTTAAACATGTTTTTCAATAAGAGAACATACTTGTGCAACTCAGGTAGAGATTTTTGTAATATTACACTATGCCAAAAAAATTAAAATGAGGGCTTTAGAATTGAAGGGGATCAATACATGCACAGATAGCCAAGCAGCCACAGAAGCATTCATAAGCTAGATTTACGTTAGTGTAAAAATGTCAAGAAGAACTCGAGATACTAGCATTATGTCACATTGGTATAAGTTTTAGGTCACCGGAGAATACTCAACAATAAAAAAATAATAATAAGATTGCCAGAAATGCATCAGTTACAAACGTTTATATTAGGCCAAAAAGCATCGCCAGTATCGCTAAAGTACTGATACAAATGGGAATTAGGTTCAAACAAGCACCAATCAAGAGACTCCTACATACAAAGTAAACTTAAGTTCAATCATATCTTTCATATCTGCTAACCATAAGATTGCAGGCGGCAAACCACTTATCGAAATCAAAAGTACCCCAACAATATATGGGAGCCATCCTTTAGAACCAAGGAAGCTAATAAAAGGCTTCAGAATTCTAAAATGGGTATCATTAGTGAATGAACGATGTACAATACGTCAAACAATAATTGCAGTTCGGCCTGTTTACAACAAACGCCTTCAACAAAGAAGACCTCTTGGATACGTATAAAACATATTTATCCAAGAGCTGCTGTATATGATTATCACAACAGTGGTAGCATAAATCAAATAATATTTAGGTTGACGTGTTAAAAGATCTATTTAATACTTATAGAACTGGAAAAGTACCATATAATAGTAACTTTCTTAACTTCAGTATAAATATCTCTTGAAATGTTCGCAATTAAATATTTGTCGGGATCTTCCATATTTTATTGTATAGATATTCCTCATTTATGTATAGATATTTATATACATATATTGAAATGATTTCAATATGTTAAAAAAATATATACAACTTAAATGGATTTTTATATGAGTTTGTTGTTCATGAATTTCATGAAGCCATCACAATGTGGGTTCGACTCTGAAATATAAGAGAGAAAAAGATTAGTAAATTGTTAAATAAATTAATTTTGACTTAACTGGTATAGTGTTAATATTTTCTGAATAGTATAGTTGCCTAGTGTATAGGTGAATCGTCTAAACCTTAAAAAGAACAAAAAAGAAGAATTCTTAAAAAATGTTTGAACATAGAAATTTAAAAAAAAACGTCAGAAAATAAACTGTCAAGCAAGTTTGTGGGAGCTAAATTAATAGGGATTTTGTTAAATAAGAAATTACAATGATGTGGAGATGAAAAGAATAAATTTTATTAGTATTGTAATAGACTAAGTTTTATATCTAAACATTTTTTTATAAATTCCCAAATTAGATGTGATTAAAGTCATTATAAGAAAGTAATGTGGCTTGACAAATATGTCAAACAGGACAGTTTTATGGTTTAAAAAAAAAAATAGAAGACGAAAAGAAATAGCAACGTTGGTTGCTGTTAGCAACGGATAATAATGGGTTTTTTGGGGACGCCGAAAAGGTTTTTTGGACGAAGAGAGCCCTGAAACTGTGGAATAGGTCGGGAGTGTTTTTTAACTCGTCTAATTAGAATTTAGTTTTTCCACAGTTTCCACAGCAGAGATATCCAGAATTTGTTCCAGAGAGTAAGAGAAACAATTTGACTTATAAATTATATTGGAGTATAGAAATGTCATTTAAATTGAGAAAATTAAAATTCATGAATTAACATAATTGCGATAGGCCTTAAAAATTGAAAATATTAATGATCATTAAATTAAAAATAGAATAGTACGTACCCTAACTTCCGACGAGAGGATTGATATTCCAGTTTCACCAATTATTTTTGGGTAGTTAGTTTCCTTTAAAGAAATCAGAACTGTTTTAAAGTAAGGTTGGACAATAATTTTGGGGATCATTTGAAATTTTGATTATATTTGAATGCAAGTTTAAAGTCAGCGAAGTAAAGTGTTCAGTTTCTTTTTCTTTATAGTTTATTTATACACTTTATAAAGTTGCAATATTTATTTAGTTTTTAGGTACTTGTAGAGAGTCTCCACATTTTGTAATAAATTTCTATTGTCACATCACTAAACCACGTTAAGATTTAAACGATTCCTATTTTTGTAAATTTTTAAAGGCAACCGAAGTTGCAGACGAATTTTATTGTTTATATTAAATTTGTTCAATATTAATAAATAACGTGCTTCATTTGGGTTAATTTATCAAAAGTCTAAAGTAAATTTTGGTTTAATTTCTTTTTTGAACTCTACCAGGAGACTACAGAGTCAACGTCACACGAACAACGAACCACATATTTTAAAAAATTACAACATTTATTATAAAAAAAAATAAAATTAACAAAATACAACCTTTTCAATATATATATACATATTATATCTGTATATATATATATATATATATATATATATATATATACATACATACATACATACATAATAATTATAATAAAGATAATTTAAAAAGTACTTACAAACTAATTCTTTGAGAACCGCGATAAAAACCGTATACTTATATATTTTATTACAAAATACTCATTGCTCATACACAAACAAAACATCATAACAATTTTTTTCCTCCAGTGTGCAAGTACAATACAAGAAAAAAAAATGCACTTGTATTGTTTGAGTTTTCAAGCCACCATATAACACATACAACTTATTCCTTTTTTTGCTATAAAAAATCTTCAAAAAAGTTTTTCAACATGGAACTTTCAAATACCACTTTTGCCTGCAACCTCACACAAGTAAGTGTTCACTACATCTTATGTAAAATACACAATTTCCCCATTCTGTAACATATTGTAGCATTCGTCTGAAGATGTTAAAGAAATTTAACGAAATATAACGAAATCGTTGAAAAGAGCACACTTTGGCTTTCATTATTCAGCTGCTAACCCAATCAACCTTACCAGTATACTAATATATATATATATATATATATATATATATATATATATATATATATATATATATATATATATATTTCTTCGTGGCCTCCCACTTTTTCTTCGGCTTGGAGGACCCTTAGGACGTTTATTTTTGCATTCGTAAAGCATGTCCCAACCATCTAACTGTCTGTGCTCTGATTTTTTGATCTTTATTACCTCTTGGTTTGTTCTTCTGCGTCATTAGCCACGAATAGTGGGGAATTTTCAAAACATTTTTGAAACCGTAAAATTTTAGAGGCTCATGAAAATTTTTCATAATTTTCTTTATTATTTTATAAAAAAAAAAACAAGTATGCCATTGTGAGAATTCACACTAAAAGAAATAACCATAACCAAATTGTTCCGTTCAAATTTGTCAATGTTATCCCAGTTGATCAAAAGCAACGACGCGTCGAATATTTATAGTATTATTTTCAAATATTTGGTCGGTACAAACAGGAGTTTTTCATCGATATCTTACACTATATGAAGCGCTGAATTCAAATCCTAAGTCAGGTGATCGAACAGCTAGTAAATGAAAGCACTTCAAAACAATCAAAACCGTAAAAATTAGCTGACAAAAATTTGACTTTCATTTTTTGGGAGAGAGTTTGACGTTTCATTTTGAAAAGTTTGTATTACATAGGTCATATTACAGTTACGGGGTGAGTTCATCCCACGTTCAAGCACATGTTGATTGTGGTTTTGCCGACAATTATTTACGACTGTTTAAATGAAACAAGTGATATAAAAATTAATAATTATTGTCAGCTGTTAGTCGTACTTTTACCTGTAGCTTATAGAACCGGAATTTAAGAAGTCATAAGCAGCAATTAGATATTATGAGAGTCAAGTTTCAGCAACGTCATAAAAGATAAACAAATGTCTAAATTATAAGTTGCCAATTGTTGACAATAAGAATACACTTAATTGTATGTCGTGCAATTTACCGATTCATATTCTATGTCTAGATATGGCACAAGAAGAGGTTATAATAATAACTAGGGCAAAATCGAAGTCACCAA